CAAATCAGAGCTTAAGTCAGTCCAGCAGTTCCACTATCTAGGAAGTATAATTTCCTCAGATAGCAAGACTGACAAAGAGATAGACAACAGGTTAGCAAAGGCATACAGAGCTTCCGGAAAACTCCATAAAAGAGTCTGGTGCAATAAACACCTGAAGAAAAGTACAAAAATTAGCATCTACAGAGCCACTGTACTGTCTACTCTTTTATACGGGTCCGAATCATGGGTCATCTACTGCCACCACCTGTGACTCCTTGAACGCTTCCATCAGCCCTGCCTCCGCACAATCCTAAACATCCACTGGACTGACTACGTGACTAACGTCACTGTTCTTGAACAGGCAGGGGTCACCCGTATTGGCAGGGGTCACCAGTATTGAGGCCATGCTGCTGAGGATGCAGCTGCGCTGGTCAGGGCACATCTCCAGGATGGAGGATCACCGCCTCCCTAAGATTGTGCTCTATGGTGAACTCACCACCGGCTGCCGCAACAGAGGAGCCCCAGAGAGGAGATACAAGGACTCCCTGAAACAGTACCTCAGTTTTGGCCATATTGACTACCATCAGTGGTCCACCCTGGCCTCCAATCGGGAGACATGGAGACACACCATTCATGATGCTGCTGTCTCCTTTGGGAACGCACGTAGAATTAGTCTCGAGGAGAAAAGACAACGCAGAAAGAACCGCGCTTTCCCAACACCGTCTAAGGAGACTTTTCGCTGTGCCCTTTGCAACCGGACTTGCCTATGCCTATCCCACATCGGCCATTTTAGCCATCAGCGCGCTTGCAGCAAGCATGGGTAGTGCCCTTCCCTTATCTTTGCGAAGTTTAGCCATGATGATTGCAAGTATCTTGATGAATCTCTTTCTCCCTCTTACAGGTTCGACTTCATACACTCAGTTGCACGCTGCTATGAGAAGATAATAATCCCCTTTCAACATCTCCATCACTGGCAGTGATGTTCATGGATTGCCTTCTCTAAATCTGTGCTCTTTCTGTGCTTTTGTATAACGTGTACATTGTGGGACCAATCTGAACACAGCTATACGATTGTACACAGCTCCATCCTGGCACACCCACACAGACTGGGATTTATGTATATAGGCACTTTCTGTTCATTAAAAAAAAAAAAAAGGCAATTAAAAAAGCCCCCCCAAACAGAAAACAAAACCCCACCCCACCATTAAATTACATGTATATTTGTGGAATGCTAATTTAAATGATTAACTTATGAAGTATGTATTTATCAAAAGGGTGCGAAGATGAAACTTGTGTATTAATGAAATTGCGCTACATTCAGCGAAGTTTACTTGCACTTTTTCTGGCAAGGCTACTGAAGTTACACGACTCGTAATATTTGCTACTGGCAGTGCAGACAGAATATCACTTGTAGAGACCTATTTTTGTAATGGTAGAAGTTTTGAATTTTATGGGTATTTTGTCAAAGTACTGAAATAAAGATTACTTCATGCTTTTAACTGTGTTCCAAGAACCACTCTCTTACTCTTGCTGCTCCTGCTCGTGGTGGCTGCAGCTTTACTCTTGAGTCTAAAACCCTGCCGCTATGGAGAAGAGACAACAGGTACAGGCTTGGCTGGTCACGTCTGACAGGGCTGGAAGGGAAGATCTTGCACTCGCTCGGCTGCTGTGACTGATGAAAACACAAAGTTTTATAGTGGTTGTACGTGAGTTTAGAAGACAGGGCAAAGCCCTTGCTACAGTGAACACTGATGAAGGGGGGGAAAGCTCTTTGCATGACCAACTTTGTGTTTACAAGCAAGTAAGTTTATTACAAATTTACTTAGAAAAACTTTTCAGAATTGCCAGAGTTGAGAACAGAAAAATTCCACAAGAGGTTTGTTTATAAATTTAATTCAAAAAGTTTCTGTGAGCCAGAGCTCATTACCATTTACCATCATCACTCCTGAACCAAACACCATTTCACAATCCTGCATGAGTCAGTACAAAGGGGGACAACATTCAGGTATTTCATGTAATTTGAGACCACTTTATACACAAACGTTATTTACAAAATTCATGTTGTTACTTTCACACTTTTCACACAAGTAGTAGATCACTACTTTCAGAAATTTTTAGAAAATTATTTGTTGTTTTCTGATCCTAAGCATTTTACAGCTGCTTCAAGTTACACATTTAAATAGTTTCTTCTCATTAAAGACTTTTCTGTGAACATTTTGGAGTCTGCCTACTCATCTGTACAGCACCATTTTTTTAACAAAGCATGGGCACTTCCAAGGATCAGCCAGACCATACCTCATTTGCTTGGAACAGAATCACCAATAGCACAGGCAGGGCACCTCCACAGACCTTCCCTCCTGGTGCCTGTTCCCTGATGGCTTTTCTACTGTAACTGGATGCAGAGGTAGGGTACCCAGCCTCACCCCTTGTTATCTGGGGAAAAGCAATCTACAATGCTTTTGAAAAAATAAGAGAGTTCCATTCATAGAAATTACTTATTTCTTCTTAAAGAGCTGGCATGCACCTTAAAAGTGTTACACCAATCAAAAAGACACTTTTTCTTTAGAAATGCAATGAGAAAGCTGTAGAACAAGCAATTATACACAGCACCATTAAATGGTGGTGACAAACAAACAGAACAGATGCAAAGAGTTTGCATTTGGTAGATTATTGTTGCTTTCCTAACAGCAAATGCAATAGTTTCCATTTGCCACTCATTTTTCACAATTTTATGCAAAAGTCTGTTAGTTTACACAACTTAAATAAGTACGGTTTTGGGTCCAGAATTTACAGTGACCTCCTCTTATATCTGATCATGGGGTTATTGGGTGTGTGTATCATCGTTGTATAATTTATAGTTGGAAAATAGCCATTGACAAGATCAAATTCATACAAACGAAGCAAAGTAGACCAAATAGTCTTAATCTGAACATAAGCAAAGTTTTCTCCAATGCAGCGATGGCGGCCTAGAAGGAAAGGCATAAAGAGCTGTTAGAATACTTGGTTATTAAATCCTTTTTGACAACAAGCTAACTTAAAAAATGTTCTGTGGACAGTAAGTAATTGCTTCTTCCCTTTCTGAACAAGGCAAGGCTCTGATGCTGCATATACACCACTTTGTAACTTCATCAGTCTTGTGTTTAGAAGGCGTCACAGCACAAAACAAACCAAGTAATTTGAGCGAGATTGTGCTGTTCTGTCCTCACCAGAAAGCGTTCATTTCTGTATCACCAAAGAAGTATTTCCAACACTGTGAAAAGATACCACCTCTCACCGTGTTGTGGTGATACTTGTGAACTGTTTGGGCAGTTGTGACTCTATGCAGATTTTCCCTCTGCCTTAAAATGACTTCCTGGGATCCTGGGTTTACCTCAGCTTGAAAAGACTTGAGTCAAATATCACACATGCTAACCTGAAGGTTTTCTTTGCTACTCTGAGTGATAGATACAGCTATTATTAATGCAAAACTATTGACTTCATTCTTTTAACAGCACTTTCACAGTAAGAAAACTTTCAGGCAGCAATAGAAAGAAAAATATATCCTCAGACACTACAGCGTGGGGAGGTGCTGTACGAGACAACCAGTGGGACCCCCTTCGGTACACAACCACTCGTGAAGGTGCTGCCTTCTCTTACTCACCAGCACCAAAGGGAACGTATGCAAACTTCTCCCCAGCTGCTGGGTTATCCTGGAGATACCGCTCAGGCTTGAAGTCTAGAGCATCTTTCCAGGAGTCCCTGAGTCTGTGGTTCACAGTAGGAGACACGCAGACCTGATGGCCGGGGGGAATATTATATCCAGCAACAGTCTACAAGAGAAGAGACAAGATCCCACACATCACAAAAGTCCTCCATTTTTCTTTTTTAAAGTGTTACCCTGAAGCACTGCATCGTGAGGCTTGAATTTCAAATGAGATTTTGGCTAAGCTCATTTAAAATTAATGTAGCTAACACTTTATTGTTTTATTGTATAGGGCACAATGTTCAAGTAGTTGCAGGAAACTTTCATATTGCTTTAATGAGGCTAGCAATTCTACAGGAAGATTTTTTTAAAAATTAATTCACTTAAAACTTGTTGAAAACATTTGTCATGGGAGGGACATCTTTTAAAGAATTATTTGACTTACTTTACTTTCTAGCTTGTACTGTATTAAGCGCAAGCCAAATTTTTCCAAGATAGCTATTAAAAATACCTGGCAAACAAAAAATATCTTTAACTGGTAGCACCGAAAGAAGAACCCAAGTGAGGTGCATTGATAGCTAAAAGAAAGGGTCAGTTTTGCCAAATAAGACTGCGCAAATAAGTGCTCTGACCCCTGACCATCTTGGTGGCCCTCTGCATGCTTCACTTCATCAACATCTGATAGCTGGGAGTCAGAAGGGCCCAAAACTAAACACAGATAATTCCAGATGAAGCTACCAAGTTCACGGTGTTAATAACTTTCCTCAATGCACACGAGCTACACTCCCACTGATACAACCCAGGCTGCCATCAGCTTTCATCCCTGCCAGCAAACACTGCCCACTCATGTCTTCCTTCTGCCATCCAGGACACCCCCCATGTGGCCTTTTCAGCCCTGCTCTACTGAAGTGGAGTTACCTCCAACAAGGGTACTCACCTGGGGAGTTTTGGCCATTCTCATCATGGTCATTACAGGAGGTCTAAGCCTTAAAGTTTCTTTTAGACAGCGATCCAGCAAACTGAGATCCTTGAGCTGAAAAGACAGAGAAAATGACATATCAGAATACAGTCAAGTTTATTCAACACAAACAAAACAGTATTTTATGGCATCTTAAAAAAAAGTCAAAGAGTAGGCAGCTCATATGTCCATGTACTTCATTAGTTACCCTGATTATTTATTTTTTTCCCCTCTGATTCAATTAAGAAGGGAAAAGTCTCTGATCAGGGCAACCAAATACGATCAGTTTCTTACTGATCTGTCTCAAAGAGTGTTTTCTGATGCCCAATTAAAGAACAAGGTCACACTGCATTCCTTTCCTCAGTGGAAATATGAGGATCTTCCTCCTCTACAGAACTATAATTTCTTAAAGAGACAGTGTAGGAACTGTAATTTCCTTAATCAACACTAATATAAAAAAACATTAGCAAGCTGAAAACTTACTTGCAGGGGAGGAGATAGAGGAGATACACTGGCAAACTGTTATCACAGAGAACTGTGTCAGGTTATGAGTCTAACAAAAAGCATATGACTACATTTCACATTCTGGGTTTTGTTTGTTTGGGGGG